TTTTTTTTTTTTTTTTTTTTGGCTTTTAATTTCACCTCTACGAAAATTAACATTAAGTACGCCTCCAAGTACAAAACGCTCCTTTTTGTGGAGAAATACAGCTACTACTGAATTTTCTTAGAAGACGTTCCCGTGCTAACATGTTATTTTTGTCTAGTTACCAGCTGGTAAGCTCTTTAAATTTTTCATTATTTGCCTCTTTTCGTAATTATTTATCTAACGTTTCCAAATATTTCTCTTTGGAATAGTCGGCTGTCTGTTGTTTTGTAACTAGAATTATTTTAAAGAAAGAACCTTTTTTATAAGAATATTGTGTTTTTCAGGCCAAGGCTAAATATTCGACTCATTTTTCTGCCAATTTAAGGCTCAAAGTATTCTTGTGAATATTCTTAGATTATTGTTTATTTCAACCGAGAGTTAAGAGAATAAAAAGTGAGCTATCCCAATGCAACATCAGATTATCTGTCCTATCATGACAGTTGTCAATAAAGCCTGATGTGACGCATAACTTCTTGCAGAAATTTTATTAGGATTCAACAAACTGCTAGTGATGTTTTTGTTCTTTTTCTGTCTTGTTTTACCGTTTTGAGAAAGGAAAAAATTGTATTGTATTTACAAACTTTCAAAGCACAAAATTACACTCTTTACAGAATCTCAGCCTCGGGTTTAGATTTTAGTTAAACAATTTATAACTAATTTTCAGCTGGCATTAGCTTGTCAGTCTCCGATTATAAAGCGCTTTTTATTACCCTTCTTTAAATAAAGTGATTTAAATTATTATAATTACACGTAAAAAGTACCTTCAGTGTTTACGACCTAATTATATTAGCGTTTTTTACGCAAGCCTGTATGTGCAATTTTTTTTTTCCTTTTAATTTTACCTCTACGAAAATAAACATTAAGTACACCTCCAAGTACAAAACGCTTCTTTTTGTGGAGAAATACAGCTACTTGTAAATACTCCTTTGAATTTTCTTAGAAAACATTTCCGTGCTAACATGTTTATTTTCGCCTAGTTACCAGCTGGTCAGCTCTTTAAATTTTTCATTATTTATTTGTCTCTTTTCTTTAACTATTTATCTAACGTTTCCAAATATTTATCTCTGGAATTGTCAGCCGTCCATTCTTTAGTAACACAATTATTTTAAAGAAAGAACACCAATTAACTTGATTCGTTTGGGTCCACTCTTTTTTATAAGAATATTGTGTTTTTCCGGTCAAGGCTAAATATTCGACTCATTTTTCTGCCGATGTAAGGCTCAAAGTATTCTTGCCAATATTCTTGTGTTTACGAACTAATTATATTGTCGCTCAAAATGCCATAGAAGCGCCCGCACCATTACTGCTAATTTTAAAACTAAGAAAGGTTTGCCAATGTTTTATGTTTTTAATTCGGTTTCTTTCACGCAACCGTAATATCGTTTGGCTTTCAGTTTTACCTCTACGAAAGCTAACATAAAGTGTACATCCAAGTGCAAAACTCTCCGTTATGTACGGACTTACAGCTGCTTATAAACATTCCTTATAATTTTCTTAGAAGACATTTCCGTGCAAACATATTCATTTTTGCTTGGCTACTAGTTTGTCACCCTCTAATAACTGTTTAGTCATTATTTGTCTGTTTGTTGTAATAATTTATTTGAGTGGCGTTTGCAAATAATACGTCACTTAGAAGCTCTCAACTGCCCAATCGTTTGTAGTAAGAACCATTTAAAAGAGAGAACCCCAAACATCTGGTCCAGTTCTTAAAAGAAACCGCTTGCAACAAGAGCCTAAATTGTCGCAGAAGAGTTACAACAAAGACCAGAAACGTTCGCTGAAGTAAGCCTAGTATTGTAGTAGATAATTGGCGTATCAGACGGATTATGTTAGATAGATGTGGTGTAGTCGCTGCGGATACTCGTGATCATGAAATAAGTATCACGGGTTTCTTTTCCATCATTTACCTCACCGGTACTTATTCAGATATTTCCTGTCCCAATATTAAGATCTGCACATTTTGGAGAAAGATATTAAAACCAAAAAGTAGGTAGGTAGGTAAAGTTTGCGTTCGAACCTGGTGTCCCATCATGCAGGCTGGCTTTTGTAGCATTAAGCTAGTAGGAATCTTTCCACACGCCCCTCGATGGGATGCTGCTGTGCATATTTATACTCCCCCCCGCCCCCATGTTTTGTTGACAGACGATCAGAACGAAAAAGGAAAACCACTCCAACCTCAGTAGGTCAGGCATGCTATATGCCCAGCATAAAGTTGCTACATTCCAGTGCTACTAGTTGTGGTTGTTTATGTTCAGTATTCTCTCTCGTCAGTTGCGGAGATATGAAGTTCACTTTCGCTACTATATTTCTGTCCGCCCTCATCTTCAATCCAGGAATGAACGCTGAGGGAAGGGTGACCCAAAAAGAGGTGAATAATGACCCATTTTCTTTTATATAATTTCATCTGAAGATGACTTTCTTCGATTGAGGTTAATAAAACAATTGTTGATTGAACGAAATGTTCCAAATTGACTGCCATAACAGTACACCCCGTCTAGGGTAATGTTGCCCCTCCACCAAGGGGGTCCAAGAATTTAGGCATTCCTTATACAAACAGGGAAAGGTAATGTTAAGCTTAGAAACATCAAAGTTGCATTCCAAGAGAAAACGCCCTCTGACATTCTTCAGACAGAACTGAGTCTTGAATAGTCCTCCAAGAACAGTCGTCATCAGCATATCTCTTTAAAAACAAAATTAAGTCCACTTGAATCTTTTTTTTTTTATCCCCTCCTTCTCAATATCGTTTATTATTGCCGAAAGTGTTACTTTATTTTCTCCTTTCCATATACAGTTGAACATAATTTTGCCGATTTCTCCAGTCACAGCATGTTTCGAATAAGAATAATTAGTAGAGTCAAGGAAAGATAATCTCTTAAGTTTATAAATACTATCAGTAATGGAGCTTTTTAATTGTACATTGTTGTTTTAGTTATGATGGTTGCCTAAGTTCATATAATGATGTATTTAGGTTTCGTAACATACTTTTATTCATATATAATATTGTCACAAGCATCTAATGTGCGTAGGTTTCATCCTCATTATACAATCAGTCACAAATGAAGATAACACAATTTTTGTTTCCCTACATCTATATTTCGGTCGTATAGACCGGCCCTCTTCAGGGTTAATCGTTCACCTTGAGTAACACTGGTCTATCCGGCCGAAATAGAGGTATAAGAAAAAAATATTTGTTATCTTCATTTGTGGCTGATTTTATACATATATAGATATATTATATTTTTCATTTCGTTATTTTCGTTTTTATCCGCGCTTAATTAAGTATTTTGAACGAGCGTTTAGCTCACTAGACGATACGTAGGTAAATAAATGATTTATTGATTAATTAATTGATTTTGGAATAATGAGAGACTTGATGATCTGACTCACATCGTCGGTAGAGTGAAACTCTTTTTCACAGAAGACATTCAGAAAACGCGCAGGCATTTTCGATGTGATTTTCATGATCAGCTCGTATTTCATACACCGTTTCTGATCCGCTACTAAGTTCCTGCATTTCATTTAAGTTAAAGATGAGGGATACAAAGAGTGTACACATAAACCTAGCAAACGAACACGTAAATATCATAAAATAGTATATTCAACTGAAGTTTCTGGAGTGAGAATCATTGAGGCAGGTATCACTTGTAGTCCGTGAATTGAGCATAAAAAGGAACACACAAAATGTTATCTTTCTGAGTTGAAAAGCGGTTCTTGGATTGAGCTTAAATTGTAACCTTTTCCTCAAGTTTGTATTTAATGTTCTGATTTGTTTGTAGGATGCCAACCTCGGAGCTCAGATGTCAATAGCTGACCAGCCCAATCAAGACGTTCATCTGTCTCAAGAAGATCCCGCAGCGGATTCGACAGATGAGGAGGCACTTCGCTCGGCTATGCCCGTTGCCTGCAGGGCAAGTTATGGCGTAGAAATTAGCCTGATAACCGTGGAGGAGAAGAAAAAAGGTCAAAAGAAGAGCTGCGAAGACATTTGTCACGACAAACAATTGACTTGTTTGGGAGAGTTGGATACGCCTAGAAAGAAGGGTAAGCCTGGCTGGAGTTCCGAATGCAACGAGAGCGGCGGTGCCACAAGGAATGTTATGAAGTTTTGCTGCTGTCAATCGTAAATTGTGAGTTCGGTCTTACCAACGAAAGAGGTTCCTGAAACTCTCTAGTAAGAGCAAATAAAGATGTAATAACCAGAACCTAGTTTCTGTGTAATTGTTCGGGAAAAATAAAATACTAAAGTCTCTCGGAGTTTTGGTGTTTTAGAAATGGAAACTTTACTCGTCCCTGTCCAACGCTACTTTGTCGCAGGTTATCTGAGAGTTTGGTTGAGAGTGAATTGTTTTTTGACCCAAGAGCACTCTCTGTCACGATCAAGACCCAACGCCCTTAAATGTCCCATTTTGGTGATCACGCGTACAATAGCTGATTGCACGTTGTCGTTATTTCACTACAAGTACCAGAATTCCTATCCGTTTATTCTTTACCATTTAAATTTTGAATTTCCAGTCAGGTTTAAATAACAATTGCCCTAGTTAGCATGAGAAACAGTAAAAGTGAGATACAGACCAAGGCCAGTAGACAAACACAAACATGACCATCGATTGGGCATTTTTTGGAGCTTAAGTACTCTTGATAAACTAAGATAAACAACTTGAAGTCATAAGACTCTTCACATGGGCAGTCGGGTCCTAGAATCACAAGACTAAATATAGACAGTTGGTGATCACGAACCAAAATTCTAAATTCGAAAAATTCTATAAGGATTATTAAGCTTCATAGAACTGTTTCAATCACAATTTTCGTCTCATTTTGCCCTCTGGCGAGAGACGTACATAATAACCCGGCGTAGTCAATCGAATGTTCGGTAATCGAACTCAATCGAACTCAATCGAACTCAATAGCTCGATTGAGTTTGATTGGTTTCGGTGATCGAACTTAATCGAACTCACCCAAAAATTTACCAATCGAACGCAATCGAACACTTCAACAATCAAACGTAATCGAAGTCAATCGAACATAATCGAACACTTCAACAATCGAACATAAAACCAGTTGTATCTGGTTTGAAACGAAGCGTTGCGGTCTAATAAGTTATTTATTGGCTTCTATTTTAAACACGGGTAGAACAGGAAAGATGTCGGACAGAGCAGAAGAGGTGAAACTAACCATTTTACTGTAACACTCGCCCGCAAAGGGGTCACCTGAGAAACCGTCACAGCACTTGTACATGAATTATACAATTAAGGAAATACAATGCTATGATATCGTCGTCAGCTCTAATGTTTGGCAATTTATTTAGCGACATATGGTCAGCTGTCACATTTGACCATTATTCTTTATAATCAAGACCACGGCATTTGTTGTGAAAAGCAAAGTAGTACCTGGAAAGTGTATTCCGTGAATTTAATGTATCTATCTATCCATCCATCCATCCATCCATCCACTCACCCATTGAAAGTAAATTAAAAATAACAAACAAAACTTGGCATAGACGCAGAGCCTGAATTATGAAATTGTGCAAACCAAACCGAATTTCCCTTTAGGCAAACGAGAAGATTTTCATGAACGCAAATCGAATGGGAGCTTTAAAATTTGCTTACGGGCTAGTGTTTAAGCTTGTTCTTTTGTTTACGTTTTGAATTCATGCTGAGTTAACGTCAAAACATTAAATTTTGAAGACCTACTATTTTTGCGAGTCTCTTCACTGGCATGGACTTTGACACTATGATATATCTGTAGTGTAAAACCTCGGTTGTTCATGAAAAATGTTGATTTTAGCAATAGACAGAGGTTGAAAGTCAGCTAGTTGAATCATTTAAGGTATATATATGAAAGTGACGGTGTCGAACGCACTCATGATCTTTGATTACTACTAGTTAGTTATACTATCATGGGAATTTAATTATTTTGTCTGATACTTTGTACTTGAATTAATTTACTCAAATGTGACCAATCACTCCACGGCACGATATGATTCTCCTACAGAAAAACACTCCGTTTCAATGTCCTTTGGTTATTCTTGGAGAGCTTTTTAGCGATCGAGGTGAGGAAACAAAATCAGTTCAGCAATCATTTAGTTATTTACACTTGAATGAGATTTTGACTCAAAGTGTTTGTTTTCACTTATTGTTTATCTAGAAACACAAATCAATCAAGCTGCAAAGGTATAGATTTCCTTATCTTAAACATAGGTATAATTACAAAATCATGAGCGTTTCAGGATAAAACGAATGACGGACTAGCAATTTTAACCTTAACTGCTCTATAACTGATGTTTGGGCGGATTTATGAAAGAACCATTCGCACAAATGTGTCAGTGAGAGTTTCAGAAATTATCGGTATCAATTGCTTATTCAAACGGTTTCTTTGATATCTGATATTCCATTTATAGCAGTCAAAATGGGCGTGAACAACATCTCATTACACTTCAGGGGGCCAGAATTCAAACTCTCTCTCTCTGTTGAATTCTAAACAATAGATCTTAACTAAGTAGATTGAAAACCCTACTTCATTTCTACATCTTTTTTTTTTTACAGCGGAGATATGAAGTTCACTTTCGCTACTATATTCCTGTCCGCCCTCATCTGCAATCCAGGAATGAATGCTGAGGGAGGGTTGANGGGCGGATTTATGAAAGAACCATTCGCACAAATGTGTCAGTGGGAGTTTCAGAAATTATCGGTATCAATTGCTTATTCAAACGGTTTCTTTTCTATATGATATTCCATTTATAGCAGTCACTTCAGGGGGCCAGAATTCAAACTCTCTCTTTCTGTTGAATTCTAAACTATAGATCTTAACTAAGTAGATTGAAAACCCTGCTTCATTTCTACATCTTTTTTTTTTTACAGCGGAGATATGAAGTTCACTTTCGCTACTATATTTCTGTCCGCCTTCATCTGCAATCCATGCTGAGGGAGGGTTGATCCAAGAAGAGGCGAATAATGATATTTCTCACGTTGAGATTAACAACGCTAGCGTTTGTTAATTAAGCGCAATGCCCCAATTGATTTTAACGTGTGAAACAATGAGTCTGGCAACCTTTGGTTGAGTTTGAAAAGAGATTTTGACGTGCGCAATCAAGACGTTTATCTTCTTCAAGACGATAGCCCGGAGTATTCGCTCTACGACTTGGCACGGCAGGCTCTTCACATGGCGGCCGCCGCTGCTTGCAGAGGAAGTACCCTTACAGGAGGAAGTAGTCCCAATGTGAACACAGTGCTGAGTAGGAACAACCGTGAACCGGAAAGCTGCACACAGCTTTGTGCCAAAACCTACGCTCACAACTGTGATGCAGAGGTTTCTGTCTACGGAAACCTAGGTAAGGCTACTGAAAATAGGCAGATCGTGGGCTTCTCTTACAACTACATTTGTGACAGTGATGCGCACTGTTGGGGAGAAGGCATGGGATTCACGGAAGGTGCCTTCAGCTTCTGCTGCTGTCGCAGAT